CATCACTAATCAAGGGCATCTCAGTAATTTCTTGTACCTTGTACTATATTCATCTATAAATAAAGGACTGGTCGACTGGCTAGTACAGTTCGACATTCTCTTCAGTTCTGTGGTTCTCTTCTCTTCCTTGCTACTTCGAGTATAGCTCTTCAGATTACAGGTGGAAAAACTAGAAAGGACAGAGCCAGATATGAAGTCATTTGAAGGGACCTAGGAGTAGCTCCAATATGTGACAAAATGAGAGAAAGTAGCCTAAGATGGTTTGGTCGCATGCATAGAAGACCCTTGACAGTACCCATGAGAAGAAGTGATCTGTTGCAAGCTTAAGGAGCTAGAAGGGGTAGGGGTAGACCAAAAAGGACATGGCTGGATTCATGTAACTGACCCCATATAGTTGGGGATAAGGTTTGAATGATGATGATGATGAATATATTGATGGATATTTTGTTCAGATATTTAATTTTAGTTCTGGATCACTGATTGAAATTAGGGATTGAGCAAGTATTGCAGTTTGAGCTTTCCACTCGTGACTAATGTAATATGGGGTTAGAAAATTTCAATATGAAGCTTTAAACACTGTTGTTACTTTTTGAGTGGAAGCATCTTGTCATCATCATCTAAGCCTTTTTCCAACTATAAGGAGTTGGCTACATGAATCCTGTTCTGCCATTCTGTTCTGTTCAGTGCCACATCCATTGTTAAATTAAAAGGTCATTACCTAATGTCAGAAGGGGTGGACTGGATATGGGCCTAACCCTTTGGCATCCTTTTTGCACAAAGTAGCCCCTCTCAGATTCGAACTCATGTTCCCATTCTTGCCAGGCCGAGATTTTACCATTACATCAAGCAATAGAAACATTTCTCACTTCAATGCTGTCCCTTTTGGTCTGCCCCTAGCTCCTCTACCCCCTTTAACTTGTAACAGATTAGAAATGGAGGCATTCTTTCAAAGTTCTTAATATCTAAAGTGTTTACAAGTAATAGCCTAATAGGAATACAATAGAGAGTTTCTGCACCAAAACAATTGATAATCTGATGTAGTTGAGTTCTAAAAGAGCTAGAGTGAGACTAAAAAGGAAGTAGACTGAAATAGTGGGAAAAGATCTGAGGAATCTTCAGTTAACAAAAGAAATGGCCCTTAATAGAGTTAAATTAGCAGGGTTAAAGCTTTTCTTGAATAGTAGAGTTATCAATTATTCCTATCAGTTGAATTAGTAGATATTATCAACTAAGCCTGTTCGTTTGCAACCATTGTTTCTCTTAAAATTTTAAGCTTTACTGTAGAGATGCCCATGAACTCCTGGGAGCAAGATTTTGTAAGCTAAGAAGTTCCTGGTTGCCAACATAAACTGTTGACCTTGTTACATTCTAGACCAGTGTCTTTGTTGTGTAATTAGGACAGGTTTCTTCTTTCTTATTTGTATGCATTAAAAAATAGACACCTGGGGAATGATATTTTTTTGAGCTGTGATACACTGATACATTTGGGCTTGAGTATTCTATTCAATTGGTTGACATTCTGTACCATAAACAGTTTTGCATGGGCACAGACATGGACATGCATCCAAGAGTCTGACTCAGTAAGATGAGAAAACATGGGCCTGTGCACACATCTACGGAAAAGTATATAATATTAAAATAGATCATGCTTTTTTTATTTAAATTCTAAAATTGCATACCTGTAACAAGGGATTTAAAATGTTGCCTTTGTTACCAAGTAACATTTGATACAAAATATGGCATTCATCTTGTATATTAGCTTTTCATTTATGTCAAATAATCTAGGATATAGAAAGGAAATCTTATGTAAATGCTTCCTCAAGAATCCATGGAGTTGGACTCTGACATTTGTCCAACCCTGATACAATGTCCATTTAATAAAGTCCATGCAACATTGACCATAAGCACAAAATCATTGGTTAGCTCAAGCTTACTATTAATCCAAAGGATTTGGATGTGTTTTATGTTTTACTCTTGAAGCAAGAGAAACACAAATTCAGGTTAATTAGATATTGAGTTGATATGACATTTTGTACTCTTGATGTGATATACAATTTGGGAAAGATTTAGTTTCACCATGTGGGATATATATGAAGCATTTATTATGAACCTCTACCACAATTTTTATTGTCATTTCACTCGTTTGTTCTTGTTATTGGAGGCTTGTTAAAATTGATGTTGTTCTTGAATGCTGTTTACAAACTTTATCTTAATAATCTTCTTCCTTTCTATTTTTAGAATAATGAAAAATATTGATTATCCATGATAAGTGGTATTAATAGCAGCTATTATAACAGCATTTGCAAGAGAGTTAATGCAAGGTATGCTTGACTGAAGAGTAGAAGTAGGGATATCAATTAGTCAGTTTAGGCTGCCTTGACCTGCCCCTATAGGATTGGGTTTGTGTTAGACTTAATCAGGTATTGTTGGGTTTGGGTTGAGACAAACTCATGCGGAACCTGATCCATTGGGATCACTAAGTCATAGTTTTTCCTTTTTCTTATTGTTATAGGTGTAAGGTGTCATAATGTTGCTTGTTTAGATATACTCTAATGATGTGCAGATCTCTCTCTCTCTCTCTCATTAGAAGAAGACTGGGAATTATGTTTTTACTTCTTTAAATGAAACCTGAAACTATGTTTATCATAGTGGCATTGAAAAATTTGTAAATATAGCACTCACTAAGAATATGGGTACTGTTCATGGGTCAGGCCAGGTTGTAATTGGTTGACCTTATAGGGTTGGTTTGGGTTCACTAATTCCATTGATTTAGTCAATCAGGTTGAACCATACCCCTATCAAAGCCAACACATTGACAAATGTTGTCCAGCTTCTCCAAGGCCTTCATTATGCATATACTAAGTTTAATCCTACAGAAGGGAGATTGTGGTGGATTTTTTCCCATTACCCATGTGTTACAAATGGGTGATGGGATATGCTAGAACATGTCGGTATTCTGTTTTAGTAAATGGGATGGTGGTGGATTTTTTTTCCCAGCATTAAGGGGAATAAGACAAGGAATTTCTTGTTTACTTTGGTTGCGTAGGTACCCCTATCCCCTTTCTTGTTTACTTTGGTTGCAGAGGTTCTTGGGAGATTGATTTCTAGAGCAGATTCTAGGAACTTAGTTAGGGGCTGGAGAGTAGGTAGGGAAGAGGTACCACTAACTAACTTGCAGTTTACAGATGATACGGTGCTTTTTTGTGAAGGAAGATATTTGAGATGGATAAGGAATTTGAAGCTTGCTGTGCAGTTATTCAAGCAAATGTCTAACCTTAAGGTAAATTTGGAGAAAATTTGTTTAGTGGAAATAAACACGAGGAAAGGAGAGATCATAGAAAGTGCAGACATCTTGGGTTGTGTAGTGTCTAATTGTCCATTGAGTTACCTAGGCCTTCCCTTGGGAGATAATCCTAAACATTGAAATTTCTGGAATCCAGTGGGAGAGACATTCACAAATTTTATAATTCAATTTAATTAGTTTGTCCACTCGAAAACAAAGCAATAAGTAATTCAGTTCAGTAATTTTATCCATTTTCAAAGGGCCCCTTGATGATTAAATCAATAGAGTTGGTATTTCACTTCTTACTTCTTAGTTGTTATTGATATTGTTTTATTTTTCACCAACTCTCATGTGATCTTGGAAGTGTTTCTCATGGATTTCTTTGCTTTAACACCTTACATGAATTAGATTTAATGGGTAACAATATTCATGTAGATATTCTTCGTGTATGTGCACATATGTGATATTCCTTTTCTTTCTTCCTTCTCTCTTCTTTATGGGTACTATTAATTGCTATGATTACCTTTCTTTTCTCTTTCATTGCCAGGTTCCATGTTTTTGGTATTGGAAGGAGATTACTAGGCTTCAGTGTTCATATTAAAGTGAAGACAGGGTCTAAAATATCAGTATGTTGAGAACATTCTTGTAATTGCAAAATCTACACACACACACACACACACACATATATATATATATATATATTGCCTATATTCTTCTTTTTATTCAGTAGCAGTTGAACATTTTATTATGATATATATGAAAATGATGTACAGTAGTGTGCCAAGCACCACCTCTGGGGTAGCTAGTCTCAGATAGCTACCCTTACCAATATATTTTTTTATGATTACAAATTCCACACTGGGTAGTTATACCCCAATACATTGTCTTGCCTTTACAACTTGTTTTGCAAGTCTAACAGCTACATTGTTCACTAGAGTCTATCTATAAAATGTTCTCAATTCTATCACTAACGTTGTCATTTCCCTTAAGATGTGCCTATATTTTTCATGAACCAGTGTTGCTTTTTCTTAACCGGCCTGCTATTACATGTGGGTTGCCTTCTGCCAATTCTTTGTAATGCAGAAATTCTACCATCCTTAATCTTTGTAGTGCAACCCATATCTCTGTCTGAGTATAGTCACCAAAACCAGCTGGCATGGGGTATAGATCTAAGATATTCCCCTCCTAGTTTCTGAACGGACCCTCTACTCCCAGTTTGCTGTCTATGTTATTTCAAAATTTTCATATTTCTCCTCTGTGATAACCACTCTAGATGCTTTGGGGTATATACAGTCCAACCCTAAAGCTTTATATGGAACACTGACCTGGCCTATGCTGCAGGGTTCTTCCATGTAACAAGGTTCCCTACTTGACACAATTAGACGACCTTTTTCTTGATATTTTACATTGGAAATTTTTGTATAGTCTGTTTGAATTATCACTTCACATAGTAATACACCACTTGTGGATTTCCTTTTCCGGCAGGAGGTGGTTGTTGGTCCTGAAAATAGAACGGTATTATCAAATGATAATTTTCTAAGAGTCAACCTTATTGGTGACTTTGTTGGTTATACAAGTATTCCATCATTTGAAGACTTCTACCTTGTAATACCGAGGCAGGTATGCTTGCAACATTAATGTAAATGATCCATCATAATCAATGAAAGAACTTTATTTTTTATGGTGGATGGCTTGCATGTAATAAAGATATTCCATTTTTGTTTTTGTTTTTCCCTTTTGCTGGCATGACCTTGTTGTAATAATATTCTTTCTTTTTTATATAATGGTTTAGTTACTTGTCTAAATCTTGCATTAGATTAGGGTTTAAAACCTGAAAACACCAGGGTGCAACTTGTTCAACTCATCTTAATTTTGTGTAGCACCATATTACACTAATGTGATCCTGTGCATAGTAGTTTAAGCACATCAGTACTTATGGTACTAACTAGGGATACAACATTTGAAGTTTGGTTAATAAAAGATTCTCATCAACAAAGCCAAAATAGATGAACGACACAATCAGGTCCATAGTACCTTGCATTTTATTAGGAAAACTAAGGAACTGAGTTGTAAATCAGTCCCACTAAATCTGATGTAAACTTGGAAAAATTAGAGAAAAAAAGAGGAAGAAAAGAAGAGAACAGCAGTACAAGAGAAGGAAGATGGAGAAAAGAGGAGGAAGAAGAAGAAGAAGAAGAGTTTGAATGTGTCTTCCCTCCCTTCTCTAATCCTTTTACTAAACTTCAATCTTAACATAATTACAAGTATACCCTTAAGTGGGTGGCCAGCTAGGCAGTAACATAAAAAGAACTGGCAAAAGAAATAATAGGCCCATTAGCTGACAAATAAATAAAACATACTACAAGAAAAGTTACTAGGGCCCATTCAGCCCAATCTCTTTACACTCCCCCTCAAGCTGAGCATAGATGTCAATCATGCCCAGCTTGCTTATATTGTGTCAGCTTCCCTCTCAGAACTCCCTTGGTAAGAATATCAGCCAACTGCTCTTCTGAGGTGATGAATGGCAAACAAACTTCTCCTAAGGAAACTCTTTCCCGTATAAAATGTCTATCAACCTCAATGTGCTTAGTTCTATCATGTTGAACAGGATTATGTGCAACATTGGTAGTTGCTTGGTTGTCATAGTAGAGCATCATTGGCTTCTCATAGTCAACTTCCAATTCTTGTAAAAGGGATTGTAGCCACAGTAATTTTGATACACCATGTGCCATAGCCCTATATTTGGCTTTAGTAGAGGATCTAGCAACTACAGACTGTTTCTTACTCCTCCATGAAACAATATTCCCTACCACCAAAGCACAATAACCTGAGGTGGATCTCCTATCATCAATACACCCTGCCCAATCAGCATCAGTGTATGCTTCCAGCTTCATGTGTCCATGTTTGGCAAATAGAATACCTTTCCTTTAGAGTACCTTTCAAGTAACACAGAACTCTTTCTGCAGCAGCCAAATGAGTATCTCTAGGAGAATGCATAAATTGACTAATAGCACTCACTGCATAGGAAATGTCTGGTTGAGTCATACAAAGATATAAGAACTTCCCAAGAAGTCTCTGAAACACTTCCTTATCAGATAAAAATTCACCATTTGTAGCAGAAAGCTTGTGATTAGGATCAATAGGAGTGGAGGCTGGTTTAACACCAAGTTTTCCAGTCTTAGCAAAGTGGTCAAGGACATATTTGCGCTGAGAAATGAAGATACCGTCTTTAGATCTAGCAACTTTAATGCCCCAAAAATATTGAAGATATCCTAAATCCTTGATCACAAATTCAGAGTTAAGAAATCTTTTGAGTTTACTGACCTCTTGGGTGTCATTACCCGTGACCACAATATCATCAACATAGACTATCGAAAAGGTCACCAGAGAGCCATTTCTTTTCAAGAACAAGGTATGATCCGATTGAGTTTGTGTGTAACCAAATGAAACAAGAGCAGCCCTGAACCTCTCAAACCAAGCCTGAGGAGACTGTTTGAGACCGTAAAGAGATTTCTACAGTTTACACACCTTCCCCTGCATTTCCTTTTCATACACCCCCGAAGGCAAAGACATATAGACCTCTTCATGTAGATCGCCATTCAAGAAGGCATTTTTAACATCAAACTGGTGGAGAGGCCAATCAAATGTAGCAACTAGAGATAACAAAACCTGGACTGAGGTCATCTTAGCCACAGGAGCAAATGTCTCAAGATAGTCAAACCATACATCTGAGTGTAGCCTTTAGCAACCAACCTAGCCTTAAACCTCTCAACAGAGCCATCAGAGTGATATTTAATGGCAAATACCTATTTACAATCCACTGGTTCCTTCCCTTCAAGCAAGTCAACAATATCCCAGGTATGGTTCTTATGCAAAGCATCCAGTTTAGCCATCATAGCATCCTTCCATTCAGGTTTAGATAAGGCTTTTGGTACAAACCTGGGTATTACATGGGAAGAAACAGAAGCAAGAAAAGAGTAGTAGGTAGGATATAGAAGGCTATAAGATAGGTGTTTGGAGATACAATGGGCTGTACATTCCGCTTGCCCTTGTGGAGAGCAATAGGAAGATCAAGGTCTGGGAAGGATGTAGCTGGGTCAGAGGAAGGCTGACCTGTTACCTCAGTAATGATGGGAGGAGCAAGAGGCTCTTCTATAGGAGAGGAAACAACTTGCCCATGTCTAAATTTGTGCCTCTAGTACCACCTTTGAAGAACAGGATGAGGAGGAATTACAGGAGGATGAGGAACATGAATATTGGAGGTAGGCCTAGCGGGAGAAGTGGACACCACATGAGATGACTCAAAAGGAACAAGAAGAGGAACTATTGGAGACATAGCAAAGGGTTCCTCAGATTTCTCCCCCTTAGGAGGAATACTAAAGAAAGGAGTAGACTCAGCAAACGTGACGTCACAAGATACAAAACGAGTGCCATTAACTGGACCAAAACAGCAATATCCCTTCTGTGTGGGTGCATATCCTAGAAAAACACATTTACGAGCCTTAGGTTCAAATTTGTGCCTTTGATGGCTATGAACATGCACATAGCAAGTGCACCCAAAAACACGGAGAGGAAGAGAGAAGAGATCCCTAAAGGTGGTTTTGAAGCCAAGAACCCGGGAAGGCATACAGTTAATCAAAAAGGTAGCAATAAGGACAACATCTTCCCAAAATTTTATAGGAACATGGGATGCAAAAAGGAGGGATCTGGCAACTTCAACCACATGTCGGTTCTTCCTTTCCACGACTCCATTCTGTTGTGGAGTGTAGGAACAAGAACTTTGATGAATAACCCCAAAAGTTTCAAGATAGGCTGAGAGGGTTTTCTCAAAATACTCCTTAGCATTATCAGAACGGAATATTATGATCCAGGTGTTAAACTGGGTAAGAATGAGTTCATGAAAATTTTGCACAATAGTTGGTATTTCATCCCTGGATTTCATGAGATAAATCTAAGTGTAACAAGAGTAATCATCAATAAAAAGTGTAGAGAACACTGATGTGGGCCCCACAGCTGTGGTCCCCACTGTGTTCCTAGGACAGTATGTGTAGTTATTTGTTTCAGTCATGGTAGTGTCAGTTGGTGGTCAGTTTGTTAAAGTGTGCCGAATAGGGGTAGTTTAGTCTTCTTATGTTTGTTAAGTAGCTTGCTTATGTRGYAGTGTTATTAGAGTTACTCTGCCCCACACTTAAGTAAGGGCATTTTTGTCTTTGTAAAGATTATTAGAGTCTAATATAGATTAAGGGGGTCGACTGAAGGAGTAACCCATCAGATTTCGACAGACCCTTCTTCTTCTTCTTCTCTTTCTGGTTCGGACTACTGTAGCACCAGTCGAAACACAGTTTTTATTTGCTTTATTTGTCATGTACTAAGGGCAGATCTGTCCTTTTCCTTATGTACTGAACATAACCTATAAATACTAAGAGAGTGGCGGCGGCAAATCATTAAGAATCTGTCCCTTCTTTCAAACCTTTGTGTTCTCCAGTTCTTCTCCTCTTTTTTTCTTTCTTTCTCTTACTTTTCTTCTACTTTTCCTAATCTGAAATCTATTAGGATTCAAGGTTGATTGTAGTCTTGATCGTCTACTTGGTATCAGAGCCTATCTAGGGTTTCTCATGTGAGTCTAGTCCAACCGACCACATGAGAACTATCTAGGGCTGGAAGTTTATGAAGAAGTATTCGTTGGCTTATTCTTGGAGGTTACTAGAAGAGTTTAGCAGCTGTTGAAGATTGTCACGGCTTGCAGAGTGATGGTAATCAGGAAGAACCAGAGAAGGCTAGGGTTCAGGCAACCTTGGAAGGTAGCGAACAACATTCTTTGGGTAAGTCTTATTTATTTTCTAGAGATTGCTATCAGTCGAGATAGGTTGGACCTATCTAGAAGGAGCGGCCGAACTGTTTTAGGGTTTTCTCTCTATTCTAGGGTTTGACATTAACCTTGTGGCAAACCTAACTATTGAGCCGAACTCTTTTTATCTTCTTGGAAAGTGCTTGTTTTAGGGTTTTCTCTCAGAGGTGATCAGTTTTAGGGTTTCACATTGACCCTACGACAAGACCTAACTGTACGGACTGCTTGGAAAGTGCGGCTGAGCACTTATTTCAGACCTACGATTAAAACCCTAATTCTGTTCCAGCATCTCAGATTGCTCTCTAAGCTGGTTTCAGACCTATTTTTTGGTTTCGAGCTCTTTTAGGGGGTGAAAAACTTGTACGGACTGCTTGGTACTATGATTGCCGATTGGTTTCAGTTCAGATTTATACTGGTTTCATTTATATACTGTGATTGCCGATTGGTTTCAGATCAGGCCTGCACTAGTTTCATGCATATACCGTGATTACAGATTGGTTTCAGATCAGACCTGCATTTGATTCCATACTGATTTCTGATTGTGATCGACTGTCCAAGTGCTGTTTTCTGTTGTAGTGACCCTAACAGTTCGTAACTACTGATTCTTGACCAAAGATGGAGTTTAAAAATCAGGGAGAAGGTAGTTTTGGGAACAACAATTATGGTAGTATATCTGAAACTGGTTTTCAGATTACAACTGTGAGATTTGACGGGTCAAACTACTTGGAATGGGCCCAATCAGCCATGATGGCTATTGGGGGAAGGGAAAACT